TATTATTATTATTATTTTTATTTTTAATAAAATGCTGAAGTGGTAGGTAGATGCAAGATAAAGGTAGAAAACACAGTTTACACAGTGCTGTAAGAGGGCAAATGTAGATGATCAGATGATCAGGTGTGTGCCTATGGACTAAGTATTAATCCAGGCTAGACAAGGGCAGCAAGACATCCACGGATGCAGAAGATTTCTCTCAAAGCAGGGGGGGTGAGGTTCTGAGCCTCACCTCTGTTGATCCCCAAATTCTCACCTGATGGCCCCCCTGCGACTGTGCCTGTCTTAGGTTGTTCCTCCCTTGAGGAATCTTACCCGTCTCTGGCTAACCAGTCATCTTCCGGGGCCATACAGGGGCAACAGGAAACTTTTGCACATCACTCAGCCGCCACAGTCCAATCTGTACCCAGCAAGAAAGTCAGCCCTGCAAATGGCATGATAGACATGCATTGCTGAGACCTCTGAATAGCAGGTCTGAAGGAAAGTCATGCTGACTTGCCCACATTAACAGAGATTGGTGCACGCCCGTGCAAGGGGGGCCTCCAGAAATGGGAGCTGATCTTAGATTCTACGACACTATGTATTACATTCCTGTTTACAGAAAAAGTGTTCAAAGTGTGAAGTTCCTCCTCTTTGGAGGAGTTGTGCTACTTTCATGACTGAGGGCAAAGCCAGCCCATGCACATTGTTGAATTAAGATAAGTCAAGATTTATTCATTTCAACCCGCAGGGAACCTTTCTTCATTATCACCCATGGCCACCCCACAACAGGAGCTCTCTTCTCCACTAACTCCAAATCTCTCAGGATCTTCCTTTGCATTCAAGTCTAAATGAATGGTAACAATATAAAGAATATTGTAACCCGACAATGTGCATTTTCCCAGAGATTTGAGCTTAAACCTGAAGACTGGAAATCGATCATTTCTATCAAAGCAATTTTATAAGGAATAATTTAAGGGGCAAGATCTTGTAAGTACAGAGGGCCTCTGGCTTTACCTTATCCTCTAAAACCCACACATGTACTAAGAATCTCCTTCAATTCTGATGCCAAATTCTAGGCTGCTAGAAATATTAGAAAGTTAGCACTGTAAGTCTGCCTGTTTGCATAGAGTTTCTGAAATTTGTCCAGGAAATACATAATAGAAGTTCTATAAGCAAAGCAAACAGGATACACTAAGGAAACACATCTATATCCAGGTCACATCTATATCCAGAAGTAAATGTGGCTTTCCTTCCAATGAAATATATAGCCCAGATTATTGAAAACCACTGTAGATGCAGCCTCAGAAAAATGTATAAGTGACTTTAAAACTCATTAATTTCAATTACATGGGACTGTTAAGCAGATCTGTAAATCCTTTAATGGTTCAGGCGATGTTTCTAGTATCTGATAACCAGTCACTTTGAATAATGAGTATCTGGTACCATAATCACTGGGGAATGTGTGGCCAGGCCTCAGAAAGCCGTTTTCCTCATCTGCCTCTGAGATGAAGAGTATACAAAAGACAGGTATTGTGTTTGCTCTGGGACCATGCAGTCTCCTAATTCCCACTGGCACCATTTGGACTAATTCCATTTTAAGACCAACTAGGTGAGATCTTCTAATCATTGCCTGACTTCTTATCACAAAGTCAGATCTCTGTAGCTACCAGTGGCTTAATCCTTCCCTTGCAGCACGGTAGAAAGTGTTAGTCCTCAACTATTTCTTTAGAAAAAAAAGCAGAGGATTGTAGTATTGGAAATCTGATGAATCATAAGGGTGAGCTCATAGGTTAAAAATGGGGATAACCAAAGTACTAAATGAATGGTGGAAAGAACTTAAATCTCTATTAACGACTTCAAGTTACAAAAGTAGGTAGGGCATATGAAACCAAAAAAGATCGGTCTGAAAGCACACGAAAATGGACACAGGGGAAAAAAAGAGCTTCCCGGTGAGGAATGCTTCCAGGAGACAGCACTGGGAGCTGCTCATTTTATTTTATTACGTAATAAAAAGGAAAAATTGATTTTTTTTAAGGGATCAGGCCCAAGGAGTTTTTAGCATGTGTTATGAACTCATTCACAGAGGCACCAACATATTTTAGGTCAAAGTTGTCTAAAAATAACTTTCTCCCTCAGTTCTGGGACATTTTTCCAGTCTTTTGCCAAGAATCCAATTAATGTGTGTTATTTTTTCTTTCAGGCAATTTTATGTGGCTTTTTTACCTCATACTTTTTTTATTAAAAAAGTCATATGGCCAAGTGGATGTGAATAATATGATATGTGAGTAGCTAAAATGCTAAGGCTCATAATGCAATTACTTGATTCCCTCTGGCCCAGGACGTTTATGAAGATCAATTACCTCAGTTAAGCTACTCTTCCAGCTTCCTTGCCTTCTATCCTTAGGTTCCACCGTATTTGATGTATGCAGAGTGCTGGTGCTGAGGCTCTCTGCCCCTGTGAAGCTGGCAGTGAGTGGGCAAGTGGAATCAGATTAGGAAATAGGAGCCAGCCGGGAATGTTCATCTGTGATCAGACTTAGGCAGGTATCTACCTGGGAACACATCAGTCTGAAGGGTGAAACTGGCCTATCTTCCCAGGGCATCAATGAATAACAGTATAATACTTCAATAATAAAACCATGTCAAATATATTGAGGAATAGGATATACATGAACTTTTAAGGTAAAACCCAGCAGACTTCAAAAGATATTTCATGGTCATGTTTTTCTATGTGGACCACTTTAGGCTGAGCCTCCAACCTCCTAGAAGTCTCTCACCACACAATGTGAAGCACACTTTAGAGAAGAGCTGTGACGAACGGTCATCTGAGGGAGTATGATCATCAGTCTGACAAAACATTCAAGATGGATCACCATTGCCTATGGATTTTAATATTGGCACAGACTTTGAAGATTATCTGGCCTAATCTATTATTTTAAAGATGAAATTAAGAACAAAAATAAAAGTAGAGAAATGTTTTGGGTGGGTTTTCCTTTCTTTCTTTCAGGTTCCAGGGCAAAAATTTTCCGTTCAGTGAGCGATTGACGATTCTCCAAGCACACCATTGTGTTTTTGTTTACAATTTTTCTTTTGCATACAAAGACTTTTTCCTTTGGAAAAGTTTTGCTTTCCATTCTAGACCTAGCTCAAAATCATCTTGGGGAAATCCTTCTCTACATACCCAGACAGAGTTAGCTCCTTTCTCTTCTGAGCTCTAGCAGCTCTTTAAATATAATTTTGCTTTAATTCCTCTCATCTTAAAAAAAAAAAGATAAATATAAATAACACCCCTTTCTGATCTCCTTCTCTGATTGTCATCCTATCAGTTTCCTCCTCCTCACAGCTATGATTCTCCAAAGAATTGTTTCCATACTCAGACTTTACTCTCTCATCTCCATTTACTCCTCAATCCATTCCAACAGGCTCCTGAGCTCTCCACTTCATTGAGTTTAATACAGGCGAAGTTACCAGTAACTTCTATGCTGTCCAATCCCATGCCTGCTTTTCTGTTCCTATCATACTTGTCCTCTCTTGAACAGTCTACACAGCTGACCCCCACTTCTTCAAAACACCTCTGGCTTCTGGGACACCACACTCTACTTAAGGCATTTTTCCCACCTTCCTTGGGAGTTCATCCTCCTCTCCTGGATCTTTAGTGCTTGAGTTCCTCAGAGCTTAGACCTCAGGTGCTTCTCTTTGCTTTCTTTCTTGGTGGTTTTGTCCACTCGTGTCTTCAAATTCTGTATCTATGTCAACAACTCTCAAAAATACATCTACAGGTGAGAGCTCTCTTTCTGAATTCTAGATTGTGAATCCAACTTTTACTTATATTGCTAGCATTGTCAAGACTATAAGTGATAATATCCCACCAGAAAACTAGCTAATATAAAACAGAAAGATAGAGATAGATACAGAGCAAGCAGAGAAAGCAGAGAAGCCGAGAAAGGAAGACAGGGAGACACAGAGAGATTGGTGAATGAACAGATATTGACCCTTACTCATGTCACCAAACTGGGGGAAGAAGTGAGAGGGCTCCAGTATTCTCAGGATTCTTTCTTTCTGACTCTTCTCTGTCTTCCTATCTTCATTCTTTTAAGCCAGTATAATCCCCATAGAGGGGCCATACTCACCAATACCTCTAAACTTTTAGCCCCACAGCTCTGCGACCACAGTTTTAATCTCTCTCTTTTGCCCACTCAGATTAAGAGAAAGAACTTGATTAGTCCAGTGAGATTCACATTGCTTTTCTTTGAATCAATCACTGTGACCTGGGAGTCAAGATATTATAATTGATATAGATTGGGTCACATGCACACCTCATAATTATGAGACCAATAAAGTTGGGCCAGGCACACACAGTATGTATCAAACTACTCACCATTTCCATTTGGATCTCTCACAGGTATCTCAAGGTAATGATGTCCAAAACTTAACTAGTAATGTTCCTCCAAAAAACATGATTCTCTTCAATCTCAGAAAATGACACCAACATTCATGGGATTTCTCAGGCAAGAAACATAAAAGTTATGCTTGACGGTCCCTCTCTCTATGGATTTTACAGCCAAGATATGTTTTGGACCCATCCACTTTTTTCTGTTACCTTCCCAGTTAAGTTGATGTCTTCTCATACCCAGATTGCTGTAAGAGCATCCTAATTTGCCTCCCACTGTCCACTCTTGATTTCCTCCCATTCTTTACCTGCAAAGCAGAATGATTTTGTAAAAATTAAAACTCACCATACCTTGCTTCTGCTTAAAATATTAGAAAAGCTTCTCATTGCTCTTGAGATAAGCCCTGAATCCTTAACTTGCTCTCCAAGCCCTGGGGATCCAATATCTGCTTTCTCTCCTAACCTCAGCTCTTCCTACTCTCCCCTTTCCCCACTCAAAAGGTTTCAACCAAATCAATCTTTCAATTTTTGAAAAGTAATTTGAGCTTTATTGAGCCACAGGGCTTTCACCTGAGCCAGACAAGCATATCTGGTTTTATGCTCTCTAGACCCCACACTTGTTCACATTACAGCTCCATATATTTTGTGTGAATTTTTACCTGTAAGGTTCATAAGGACAAGGACTGCATCTATCTTGTGTGACATAGCACTTAGAAGATTTTCAACCAATATTTATCAAATGAATAGTCATCCCATTTTATTATAATACTTTATATATCTGTCTTTTCGGCCAAAATATGAATTCATTCTTTTATTTACAAATATTTTTTGAATTCCTACCTTGTACTAAGGAGTCAAATATCGGGGACAGAGCCATAGAGAAGAGAGATGGAGTCCTTACCTTTGGAAATTTGTGGTCTTTTTTGCTATTCAGACACTATATGTTTTCCCTTTCTGTATCTCAATTCCTGGTAGATACCAGCTATGTAATGTTTGCTGAATGAATAAATGAATGAATGAATGAATGGAAACACTGAACTTGACCACCAACTACTCCCTGTTCTTGGCACTATTCCCAATTCTGAGTGTTAGGAATGACCAAAAGGCTCATGGCAGAGAAAGATGGGCTGCAAGCCCTGGATTTCCTGGCTGGCAGTGAGCTAGACAAGACATAATGATCATCTGCTCGGTAGAAGTGAGATAGTGAGGACCAAGACAGGATATTGGCACAAGGGAGGAAAGAAGGCTCTAGATACTTGGCATCTAGGAGCCTTGGGGCAAAGGGATGGGAGAAAAATTATAAGCTCAGTGGAGTAAGAAAGGAAGAAGGAAAATGAAGAAAGGAAAGGAAGAAGGAAAGATTTGCCTATTTTTCATTGAAGTTTCTTATTTAATGTCAATCTTCTACTCTATGCTATGAGCTCTGGGGTAGCAGGATCAATGTCTGTCTTGATTATCAGAGTGTCCCCAGGGCCAATTGAAGTGACCATGCATAACTGATGGATGAATGAATGAATGCTCAGGCAGAACAGGCTCCAGGTCTCAGAATTACAACTGCAAGAATATAATGAGGCCAGAACACCTGTTCCTATACCTCACACCACCAGAGAACACACTTCCAGTGGCTGAGTCTGGAACTCTCTCTCTCCAGATAAGCAGGAAGCCCTTGAAAGGAAGTTCTCACACCCAGATTCCAACCAGTCACCAGCCCAGACATCCCCAAAGCACTGCCAAGAAACAAATGGATTCTTACCTCTGGGTCAACAGGTGAAAATTCTTAGTGGGGAGAAAGACAACCCTTTATAGCTAGAGATAAAAAGTCCAAAAATGCATTTATGTCTAGAAAGCATGGATAGTGTGAATGAGCAGATTATATTAGGTAATTTTTTCAGAGAAGATGTGTCAGTGGTGGCGAGGTATACAATATAGGAGGCTATGGGTACCTCTAGTGAAGAGAGGATGCCTTTAGGGAGAAAAAGGAGGCAGAAATTAGGAAGCTTGAAGATCCCAAACATCAACTTGGTGGGGGGATTACATGTAGAGCAGATACAATTTTGTGCCTTTCCAAAGTAAAAGGTGATATCGCATAATGGCTAACCATGTGATCTCTAGAATCCAGTGACCTGCATTTGAATTACGGCACTATTGATTCTGACCAAATCACTTGGTATCTCTAGGGTTCAGTTGTTTTACCTGAAAATACGGTTCAGGAGACCCATTTCCTAAGATGTGGAGAGTGCTGAGTGAGGGACTCCTTAGAGCATCTGGCATGTATTATGTGCTCGATAAATACGGGTTACTGCTAACACTCACCCAAAAGACTTGGCAAGAGGTGTGTGCACCTTTTGGGCTGATTGCTAATACTGGAGATTCAAGGAGAACCAGAGGAGGAAGGGGAGTCCCTGAGATAACCTTCAGGAGCAGTGTTCAAGCGGACCTGGGCACACAGCACTCTGTGAGCAATGACCTTTCTTCCTTCCACTGTGTCATCTCCCTAGGTCTATGCAACTGAACGTCAAGTGCACGATTCTCTCTGCTCTACCTTGTAGCGCCCTGTGCCTTTGACACTTTTTTGATCTGGAGACAGCTGAGCACAGCCCAGCAACTACACAGAAGGAAAGCTGTCAAAAGGCAGATCAGTTTCCTTTCTGAAGAAATGCATATTTTAGGGCAACCATCCAGATGCTCAACCCACCTTAGAATCTAATCAAGCACAGATAATGCAAAATTATAAAGACAGATTTTTTTCTTCTTCTTCATTCAGCATTTTAAGAGCCCTCTGCTCAGGAGGGAGCGGGTGGTTTCCTGATTGTGGGCAAACACAGGCAGGAAGTGAAGTTCAGCGCTCTAGTGCCACCTCCTTCCCCTTTCCCCTTCCCCATTCTACACCCCCAAGCCTTTTGCCCCCATCTCTGGACCCAGAATCGTCCATAATTTCCCAGCCAAATTTTTCTCTCAAAAAGGATCTGAAACTCATTTACATTAAAATACAAATGAGGATTGCACCTGAAAAGATTGCCCCTAGATTTGCCTTTTTACCTTAAGCCCCCCAGCAAGATTTCACTCACCATCTACAAGGAATAGAGAGACTTCCTTTGTAGGCTCCAGAGTAACCTCGCATTTTGGTATTTTTAAGGTGGATTCACTGTGGGAATCCTGAAATCCCACTACTTGGGTTGTTAAATTTATCAGCAGAGTATAAAGAAAGGCATGAAGGGTTAAGGAGAGCTATTGGTGCTCAAAAAATGGTAAACATCTCCACTACTTGGGGCAGAAGAGGTAGAGACCAGTTCAGTAGTTGCAGTTGCCCCTGAATTTGAAGTCCCCTGGAGCAATTCTGCTTTGACAACCAGCTACTCTTGGATCCATCTCTCTCTCAGGAGGTCGGGGTTAAAACTCCAGAAACTGATTTTTGTAACCAGTACTGTGGGGATGAGAGAGAGTTAACCGAAGGGATGAGTAGCAAAGTCCTGGCCCCTGCGCCAGGCAGGAGAGAGCTGGGTATGATTTGACTCGCCCATCTCACTTCCTGGAGCTTCATTTGGGAGCATGAGTCTGACTTCCCCGG